ATTTACAAAAATTCACCAGAACTGTATCAAAGAAGGATTTGACGAATCAGAGCCAAAAATGCTGCTTGTGGAGGAGAAGAGTTGGCGAGTAAAATGTTGGAGCAGAATATAGATGTTGAGATGATGCTAAAAACCTGTGGGCCGTACGGGAAGAGCCAAAGGATTCTGGGAATGTGAGGTCCCACACACACACACACACACACACACCTACACACACGCACACACACACGCACAGACGCACACGCACACACCACATAAACACACGCTCTGGACCTTTGATCCTCCCACCACACTCACTGTACAGCCACACACAGGTTAGGGTTCAGCCTTGTGTCTTTGGAGAGAACAAAGCCATGTGTTTGTGTTTGGTGCAGATAAAAGCTGATATTGCGACAGCCCGTTTCACCTGAGGTATACTGTCTGTTACTTTGTTCAGCTTTATGAAATGGAACATAAAGACTCAAAGGTGCATCCAAATTTCTGTTGGAGAAAAGATATTTTCTCAAAAAGGTCTCAAACGTCATGAACAAATACCTACAAAGAATGCATGTATAAAATGCATAAGCTATAAATTGCACGTGGATTCCGCAGCTGTCCCGGTGGAGGCCTGCTTTGTGTTGGGTTCACCTGAATTATGTTATTCTGGATATTCAGTTTATAGTTTATAATCTATCCTTTTACCTGGGAAACAAGTACAAAGTAAATATGTGAAAAGGGAAGTCTCACTGTAAAGATGTTTTGATGTTCATATGGAACATGATGATGCAATAACACTTCTTAACTTTAACTATTTGTTTACAATATTATAGTCATTTTTGCAATTATCAAATTTAGCATGCTAATGTAATTCAAAACATCAGAAAAACATAATAAGTCTTTGCTGCATTTGGAATTGACTGGGACCTTTGTGTTTGTGATACATACAGGGGTGTTCTTCCTCCCACTCCTTTTGGAGTTTAATTATGTACAGTACAGTATTATGGATAGTGGATATAGATGTATATTTTTGATTACATGATAAAGTTTTGTAAAATCTACAACGGATAATGCAATGAATGCATATTTAATGCACATTGAACTTGAGATAAAATAAACTAAATCAAGCAAGCAAGCAAAAAATACAATACAACGCATTCTCGAGACACTGTGCTCATACACTCACACATAAATCCCACACAGTTGCTGACAACAAGGAACACATACATTAACAAATTAACAAAGAATAATTCCAGAAAGAGTTGCAGTGGTATCTTCAACAGAGTGTAGAAGTTTTTAAGTAGTTAATTTACTGTAAAGAATTTGACATCCACTTGAACCATTCTAAAGTCCTGATGTGAGGCTGGAGCCAGCCAGTGGCCTATACTGTTCACACAAATAGAAAAACTGCTGTTTACAAAAGAACCCAAGCCATTCAGGCTTTTGCATCAGACATATCTGACATTTACAGTGTTGCAGTTATTCATTTATAGGAGACCAAACCATAAACACACTTATAACGGCCTCCAGTGCTGTTTATAAGCAAGAATTATTGCTAAAAGTGACAAGGCAAATGACAGTTTTGCATTTGTCGCATATAATATGTCATATGGAGGTACAGGATTGTGTTAAATACAGGATTGTGAATTATCTTAGAAAGATTATTTCACTGCCACTGTGCCAAATTTGCGTTTGTGCATGTACCAGTAACTATAGCCCTTATTATTCCCACTAAAGGCACGTTCACACTTGTTGCACTGATTCACTTTAGCTCGACAGTTTGGATTCACTCGGAGCAGACATACTTTATTTGTGGATGCAAAGCCAGTAGTCCGTTCACATCTAAGAGGAACAACAACAAAAACCCTGTGTATGAGCCCTTGGATGGTAACTTCACCTAACATAGTCTGGACAGGTACAGACTGGAAGAGCCACATGGACACAGTACAGACCAAGGATCAGGGAAAAGACCTTTGCAGAGCAATGTCTACCACACTCTTCTTCAAGATAGTGTTCCAGGGAGCGAGGGTGTGTTCAGAGGATAAAACAGGTTGGACAGACTTATTAAAAAATCAGGGACTGTAGAAGGGTCTCCACTGCCCACAACCAAGCTGACACAGAGAAATGAAACTTAAAAAGCTCAGATCCATCAGAATCCATCCCTTGCACTCTCTACATGCTGTGGAGGTGATCAACTCCAGATCCTTCAATCGTAGAATCCTCCCTCCGAGATATAAATCAGAACGCGTCATTGCTGCTGCTGTGTTAGACAGAATGAATGTCCAAATCACCAGAGTACAGTGTTGTCACGTTATCAATAATGTTTCTATTCATCCATCCATCTGCCTGTCTGTCCGTCCATCCCTCTATCTTACATACAGTGCCTTTGTAAGTTACCAGTACATTTTCTGTTTCCGTTTTAAGATTAGAGCCAAAGTTGGGGGGCTTTAAGCAAATTAGTCAAATACAAGGGCATCTAGTGCAAGTTTCTAGCACATTTATTCCATATAAGTTTTAGTTATCTGCTTTTTGCACAGCGCTGTGATATCCAGTGCACTTCATTTACAGCCCATTTAACAAACACAACAGTTGTGAAGCAAAAAACGACAACAACAAGCCTAACTAGCACGCAAATTAAACATAATGAATAAAACAGCAACACACATGATTATTGTAATTATGTGGGCATGTTTTCACTGTGGGGCAATAGAAATAGAATTATGGCGAGTTTTGTAAATGTACAAATGTGGACGTTTATCTAGTTAGAGCTAAACCCAGCCGAGTGTGAAGCGACAGAAGGAAAGTGTGTCCTCTGACTGAACTGGTTTCAACTTGGTCGTGGCTGTCTTACCCAACCCAAACCTTTCCCCCCGATGTGTTTGTTGGACATGGGTCAGTTGTTTACATTTCTGAAACCCACCATGAACAGGAGTGAGCATACTGTGAAAACTATTAAAACAATATAATTGCATGGGTTCATTAAAGAGGTGTGAATAATGTATGAATTGCAGGTATTATTAACTTGTTCTTTTCACGATTGTAATTGTTATTAACCACTCCAATGGTACTCCAGGGTGTGACCCAGTTATGAATAGCTGGTAATTACAGTGCAGAAAAATGTACAATTGGCCCCCATTGCCTATACTGTAGTTCCTTCAATGTATCTATCTATAGTGAAAAAACTACTGTTTACTATAATATAGAATTTTAAATTTGTTAAACTGCAGTGGGGTTTTGACAAAACAACAAACATTATGACAGAAGAACTCATCTCATGTAAAAAAAAATATTGGACTGTAACTTGAAACTTTGCTCGATGAAAAGAAAGTTTTGACTGCTTTATGTTGAAAATAGCTTGAAGAGGTATTTTAGCACAACCTGTCATTGGTGAAGATGGAGAAAAGGAAAGTGAGAGAAACAATTGTGTGGGTGTCTGCTGATCCTTGTCCGTCACCTACATTCCATCACAGAGCGACATGGCTGACTTGTCTCTCTGAGTGACTTTCCCATCTGCTGTGCGTATCTCTGCACAAAACCTCTCAGTTATAGGCCCAAAAGAACCATCTCTCCACTCACACACTTGTTTGTGCTGAATATCTCATTCTTCCCAATCTTCAGGAGCCCGTGTTGCTTTGAAAAAGATCTATATCTCAGCAACTTGGGCTTTGTCTCAATTCCCCTCTCTGAAAAGTGACTATTAAGCTGCAGATTAATGCAGTAAGATATACATTTCTTAATGAAAAATTTGGACTTAAAATGTTAGGGTGGAATATGAGAGCTAGTCATTGAGCGTTTTACAGGCTCTTGTGCCATCTAGTGGACAACTGATGTCGGTAAACAATGCTGTTAGTACAATGTAGCCGTGAAATGGTTGGAACGTAGGTTTCTAACCGTAAAATTAAAAAAAAACTTCTCTAAACGGAACCAAGAAGCTCCGCCCACTTCACAGCTCCAGACAATAATGCAGTGTTCCCCACACCTTTTACATTGAAAACACTCACAGGGCACACCACCAGCTGAATCTGAAACTATATTAAACTCTGAATTCTTCATTAACAAAATAAAACAATCCTCAAAGTGATTTATATAGAAAATCAAGCAAGAGCAAAGTCTTTCTTATCGTCTCACATTATCACGACTAATTAGGTTTAGAAAGGTACGCCCAACATGCCATGTCACAAGGGTTGAAAAACACTGCAATTATACAACTAACAAGCCAAAGTATTTATAATTAATTAGATTATTTATAACTAACCACAAAAAAAACTTTAAAAGATTTTTATTTTTTATTTTCACAATATAATATTTATTTTCACAGTGATTTGCTACAAACACTGCCCACAAACAGGCCAATAAGAATGAACATAAAATACACTATACATGTACTTGTAGCAGAGTTGTATATCCAACACAGAGATTTGAAAAAGTATACCAAGTATGAAAAAACACAGTATTTTCTTTACCTCCCATGATTCTTCACAAACATGAACTTACACATACAAAAAACCCTGTCACATCTGTTTTTCATGCACCAGAAAAGTGGACCCATGCAAAACAACAGCTGTGCAGACACTTACAAAATGCACATTCTGCCATCAGACGCTGTTACAGTATCGAAAGTACAATTTTATTACCAGTAATAGGTAAGTCATCCAATAAGGCATACAGGACAAAGCCATTCACTGCCAAATATTAATGATATATTGAATGTGATAAAAGGGAGAGAATACTGTAGCCTATAAAGGTTATCCCATGTGTGTACTGTTAGTAAAGTGCAAACAATCATGAATAAATATTTCTCAATTAAAGTTATATTTTGCCTCATTATTGCATAGGCTAGCACATATAAAATAATACGTAAGGTCACTCAGATGTGCCTGTGTTTATCCTTTTGCATATAATTATCAAAGTATAAAGGTAGACATTTATTTGCGTATACTGTCTTTGTCTCACAGTAAATCTGAAGGCTTTTTGAGTGGCCTCAAAAAGCCTCACATTGTGTTGCTCTGTTGCTCCACAGTTGGTTACTAAGGAAGCAGAAAAAAACAGTTTGAACTGTAATTATAAGTGGCAAAAACCATAATAAAGATAATGTATATGCTTACGGTCTCGCTCTCCCCTTCGGATCCTCTTCTCGAGCTGGGGTGCAGAGGAGAGTAGATCCAGCTCTGGTCATCCTGAGTCTGCAGTGTCACCGTCCGGCCAGCAGAGGGCAGCACGAGGAAAACAAAGTTAAATTAATATGGGACACAAATTCATGTTTCTTTTGGACGCAAATTCCCTTCTTTCAGAGAAGTAAAGGAAATGCTGTGAAGCATAGTAAAGATTTCTATTGGTATTCACCAGTGTTTTCCACTTTCACTGACAGAGAAAGTATTCTGAGTAGCAACGCTCGGTTAAAGCTGGGAAACCTAACTTTAAAATCACAAAAAGCTCCTTGCTTTCAGAACAGTTTGTGCTTGCCTCTGTCACAGATTAGACCAGTTTTATCAGACAGAAGAGTAAAAAAGAGAACCTGCCCTCACTCGACCAATCAAGTATCAAATAGGGACTCACAAGGTTCTTTCTCACAAGTCTAAGAAATATAGCAGGTTATTTTTGTGGTCATATTCGGCCACAAAAATGTATTATTTATTTTAAAAAAGTTAGGTACCCCAGCTTAAATACTACTGCATCAATGACTACTAATACTAATACTACTAATGATAATACTATCCAAAGTGAACAGCTACTAGTCCAAGCACATGTCATACTCTGTTGGCTTCGTTCCATCACGAGCCACACTACTCTATAAGCCAGAGTCAACATCAAGAAACGCTTGACTCCGTGACTTACACTGTAACTCGAACTAGAATTGAGTTTACGACGGCCCAGTACTGGGGAGTACACCCAGTATCTGCCGTCTGCGTACTGATGGATCCAAACAAAGCAGAACATGGAAAATGAAGTTTTTGATGAAGGACATATGGATTTATGATTCATAAAGTAGACATGACAAACACAAAGGGTATGACCGTGCAGACTCATGTACTCTGAGGTCGACTGATAGTTCATCGAGGGGTTGTGTTTTTTAAAAATTATTTTAGATAAGGTTATTCTTTTATGTAATAGGAGCATTTATACCAAGGGTTAAAACAAGGTCAGGTTGACAAGATAATCCATGTGCTATGAGTTACATAAGAATAAACTGATTTTTACAGTGATCTAGTTCAATGTAATACACCTTTCATGTTTATCTCTGGTTTAAATTTCTATTGCTGTACTTTCTATGTAAAACAATGCCATCGCCATAGAGACATGCAGGTAGCCATTGTACATTTATGCCCCTTTAACCAGCTTTGCTATGTGCATTATGCTCATGTGCCTTTATGGGGTAGATTGCTTCATTACAAAACCTTGACTGAAACGATTTGCAATTATGTGAATGTTTAAACTTTCCAAGTAGATCAAGGACAACGAGATAATAACCCGGTCTGGTTCTTTTACATGAAATGAAGAAAAGTAAAAGCAAATTCTGTAAATACTCACAAAGTAGATGTCAGAAACCTGGACTTCACCTTCCAGCGAGTTGTTGCTGCTGGATACGGATAGGTGTTGGCTGGATGTCAGTGGAGGGCGGCGAGGGGGGGGCTGAGGACCTGAGGGATGTGGGGTGGACAGGGTTGAGGTGGGCTGAATCTGAGTGGTTTTGTTTGGGGTGGGCTGTGTTTGGGTTGGTTGGTTTGGGGTGGGCTGTGTTTGGGTGGGTTGGTTTGGAGTGGGCTGGGTCAAAATGGGCTGGTCGCTGGAGCTTTGGGAGAAACTTTCTGAAGAGGCAGGCCAAATGGGAATAAAAGCAGATGTGGGTGCTGAGGTAATATCTGGTAACACCGGAGTCAAAACGGGAACGCGTAAACTGGTAGGGGAATGGAGGGGCTTCGTGGAGGGCTGTATCGTGGAGGTTGCGAGTGTGGCGGAGGAGTGGGAAGACAGAGGAGCAGAGGAGGTGCGAGAGGGCAGTGTGGAGGAGGAACAAGGGCCTGGAGCGCTGGATGTGGGGGGGTCCTTAGGGAGGTGCTCTGGTGACATGCACTCTAATGATATCTTCTCTGTAGCTTTGGTGAGCTCGGTGCTGTTGGGAATTTTACTGGAAAAAAAGAAGACAGAATGTCATGTCATGTCGTGTCAAACCTTTTGAATATACTCCAGAGTACTATCTATTGATAAATACCTAATTCTATATTTTGTGTGAACCCAAATGGTTTCTCATTTATTTCTCAATAAAGTACGTCTAAGAATAAGTTGGTTGAATTAATCTATTCAAGACAGCCTGAATGTCAACAAAAGTGTTTTTTGTCAGTAATTGGACGTGTTACAAATTGAAACATACATTACTTACTACTGGATTACAGCTGCCAAAAACATTGACAACAAAAAGGCATTGATTGATGTATGTATTTATGAATGTTTTAGCGTGTTACTAAAATGATCAAAAGGAGAATATAAGCTCGTATACTTGTATGCTTCCTGACCTGAGCTGCACTTCTACTGTGATAGTGTCTTGCTTTTCCTCATGGACTTCCACAATCTCCTTCTGGGACCTGTGTGCACAACAGGACACAATTACATCCAATAAAGAGTGAAGTGACAGACTATGAGCTCGCGGACACACCTGGTCACACTGGGGGACAGCATCTGTCTCCGGAAGCGCGGGTGCTCGGGCGTGTCGAAGGGGGTTGTGGGTAATGAGTTGTTGGACGACAGGGTGGTGGCGATCGATGCAGTGGTGGCATCTTCAAATGAAGGAGGAGTGTGGGGCGGATCTCTGCCTAATGGGGTGATTACAGCAGAGGGAAATATCAAATCTACATCCATGAGGTTCTACCCACGTCGCAGAGGTGTTCCTCTATAACTGTCTAAAAGTTGTCCTTTGAATAATTCATGCGTGTTTACAAAATCCTGTATTAGCTCACATTTGAGACCCCTTACATTCATAACATATATATACAGATGTGCGTGAAAATTCACATATCCAGCCACAGATTTGATTGCTCTATCCATAATTTGGAGATTAGGAATGATAATACATGATGACACTTTTAAATAATAATAATAATAATAATAATTGTTTATTTGACAATAATTGGCCTCACACAACCATTTACCATTTGTGTGTGTGTTATCATTTCTAATCTCTAAAATATGGCAAAAAAACCAAAACATTCTGCATGCAGCTGGAAACTTTCAGGCACCAATGTAAATACATACATTCAGTTTAAGTTGATGTCATAAACTAAAGGGGGTAAGTTGTCTCAACCACCAGATTGTCATGGTTGTCACTTTTGGTTCCTGTTTTATTTTGTAATTCTGTTCCCTTGTGTCTTTTGAAGATTGACTTCCTGTTCTGTTGATTGCCTGCCCCGCCCTGATTTGGTTCAACTGTGTGTCGCAGTGAAATTCCCTGTGCTCTTTCCCTCTTGTTGTCAGTCCATTGAATGTTTGTTCTTGTTTTGTCTTCAGTCCCTGTGTTTTTACAGTTTCGATTTTTGGATTCTAGGTTATTAAATTATATTTTTTGCAGTATTGAATTTTGGGTCCCTCCTCCTTTCCACCACATAACACCAATGTAAATACATACATTCGGTTAAAGTTTATGTCATAAACCAAAGGGACTAAGTTGTGTCATCCACCAGATACAGTGATATGCAAACAGGGGAGATTAAAAAAAACTAAAATCGATTGGAAATAATATTCATGATTAGTAATTAGTACAAATTGGTTATTTTTCTATTTCATATTTTTCAGAGACTAAATTGCAGCATGGCCTCACTTGGCGCTGGTAATTCTCTGCAGTCAGATTGTACTGATGTCTTGGTATCGCTATGATTATTAAGTCGAAACATATTTACTTTACACACAACATATTCATGCTTTAGCTGATGCAACATTGATTGTGTTTGGCAGCAAAAGTGTGTGTCTATTGTGGTACTTTGGTTGTGAATCTGTTCGTGAGGAACAACCATATGTCTCAGTGGTCCAAAGGCATCACAAACATAAAAACATGTGTTAGTGCAGACTGTGTGGAGCTCACCACTGTCCTGCAGCATGGGGAAACTCCGTGCTCCTCTAAGATTTTCTAGATTGTCCATGTTTTCCCGGCGGTCTTCGGTCAGCGAAGGCCGATGTGACGTGGACCCTGCGTTGGATCGGGAAGCAGACAGGGTTCCTCGACCTCGCTTGGACGGAGAGGGCCGAAGAGCTGGAGCGACAACATGTTTTCAACCTGACCTTACAAATAAAACAGTCCATACATGTGGGGACTTACAGCAGCTTTTCCTGAACACGGTTGAAGAGCAGAATCTGAAGAATCGTTCAGCATAGAAGCAAGGTCTGTGCACTGAGACGGTGTCCTGGTTTGCACCAAATTAGACATAATTATTCAAACAACTACTGCAATTATGTTAAGTGGTTAAATAACAGTGAGAATGGCTTACCCCGTCGTGAATAAGTGACTTCCAAGAGTGCTCGAGTTTCTTCAGCAGCCTGTCAGAGAAGAAAAGGAAATAATTTAGCTCCTTTCAGTGGTAATTTATTGCTGTTACCTGGCAATACAAAGATGAATCAAAGGCCTATTTATGCAGCTTAGAGTGTCAAGTTTTCATACAGTGCTATTCAGGAGACTTCAGTATTCATCACTATACACCTGTAGGACTGCAGGATGTCAATGATTCCAACAAAAAGAAGAAGGTTTTCTCCTTTAGGGCCAAGTGCTGGAATCCCTCCCATTCTGCAAATATATGAAACATAACGTTGTAAGCTATAGTAGTCTTGGGTTCGGCTAATAATATTTAAACTGCACAGTACGTGGCATCATGGTCCAGCGTGTCCTTGCACATGGAGTCTCCCTGGATGGACTCCATGGCAGTGGAATACAAGGCTCTCTGAAGGATGGGTCTCTTGGGATCAGTGCCCCCTGCTGGTGAGGCCTGGCACTGAATCTCCTTCTCTGCCACAGTTTTGTTGTGGATGCCAAGCAGGAGACTGTAATCCATGATCTTGAAACTTTCCAGAACCTGAGAATGTAATCGGATTGATTAGATGCTTACTAACGTAAACATTAGCTATAATATAAGAGGAGATGGGATTACCAAACAGTCTCTTTGCAAAGTGCGCACAAGAGCATTATAGGTCTCCTGGTCAAGTGAGATGCCTTCTGGGACATCGTTGAGAAAGTCCAGATCTTTGAAAGTGGGCTTGGCTTTCTCTCTTTCCTTTTTTGATGCACGTCTCTTACATGTCGATCCTTTTAGATCAAATTTAAGGTGCATTCGTATTGAGCGTGGTAAAATGTTGTTCATGATAATGATTCTGATATTTTTTCCCGCAGACTGGACACAATAAAGTCCAAAAAACTTTGGCAACAGGGTTCTTGGGTTCTGGTTCAGGTTCTGTTAAAGACAGACATAGTAGTTAGTGAAGTGTACACCTGCCCTCGCAGCATGACCAGGTGTGTGAGCAGTTAAGTAGGACTTGGCTCAGTCACTAGTAAATCACCTTTATGTTAACAGTCAGTGGGCGGCGTCACAACGGACCAGGGTCAAAGAGGATAATGGGGCCTAAAAGTTTTAGTCGCAGCCTTCTTAAGCACTCCCACAGCCAACACAAATAGTTGCGTACTTGTTCACAATGCAAATACTAGCTATGGAGACTCAAAACCAATGGACACATTCTATAATGGCATAAAGGTCTTACAGCTATAAGTTTGTGTAAGCTCTCAGTCGTACAGGGATTAGTCAAAGCAAAGGAAGGTTTCTCACCCGTCATCTGTACTTCTTAGAAGTTTTTCCCGACGTTTCGTCCTTCATCTAAAGGACTTTTTCAAGGGACAATATATAATCTAACCTATTGTTTATTGTACACTGTGTCCCTGTAAAAAAAAAAAACCATACCATACCATACTATTTGTCCAAGTTTAAGTTGACAATATATAATCTAAACATGTCATTTTCTATACCATCTATGAAAAATATAGCTTTGAAAACCTGTCATTTCCAGTCACCAAGAAAACCAATAAAATCTCCAGCATCAAAGTCTCAATCAGTTTGTAGGTCTTCCTTTTTTGCTTTTTCTATTCCCTTTAAAAAGTCCTTTAGATGAAGGGAAATGTCGGGAAAACCTGCTAAGGAGTACAGATGAAACCTTCCTTTGCGTCTAACACCTGTGTTCATTGGGCTCGTCCCTTGTCACATAACAACAAATGTTTCCTTCAAACTGTCCATAAGCCACATTTTACTTGTGTCATTACTAATGGTATACAGGTGGTGTTAGAAAAAACGTAGTGATATAGAACTAGTAATATTATATGATTTAGTAAAGAAACAAAGACAATTACCATGTAGTATCCAGGCAACAGTTTCTGCAGGAATTCAGCCTCCTTATGTAGCACAGTTTTTATGATAAACTCATCATCACTGGTGACATAGAATATTGATCCACTGGCTCCAGGATTAGTCAGCTCAATCAGAGGTTCATTACAAAGAGAATACTGCAGAGAAGATATAGAACAAAGACAGGCATCAAGAAGACATCATTTCAGGATCATTTGGAATATTTCACACTAGTGTTAACTGAGTCTTAATAGCTGTGTATGTGAAATTTCTAAACTTTTGAAGAGTACCTTTATCAAATTATGAAGCAGAAAGATGTGGTTTTCTATAATGAATAGTCCTGTGACAACTTGATCATACCACACAGAACTTAACAGCTCCATCCAATTTATTGATAAATTCAGAGCTAAACATTGATTCTAAGAACACTGCTTTTTGCTCATTAGATTTAGCAGATACACAATAATTGTCATTGAAAGCTTATGCAATGCTACAACACAGACAAATACTTGCCAAAGCAGAAATGTACAAAATCCACAAAAAATAATGTCACAAAAATGCATATATTTTAACATCTTGCAGTGTTGAAAGAACGATGAACGCATTGAAGTGCAAGATGAAACATGAGCTACTTCGTCCAAGTTTTGTGTAAATGAGCACTGCTGCTCTTGATTAATGTTTATTGTACACTGTGTCCCTGTAAAAATAAAAACCATACCATACCATACTATTTGTCCAAGTTTAAGTTGACAATATATAATCTAAACATAACATTTTCTATACCATCTATAAAGAATATAGCTTTGAAACCTGTCATTTCCAGTCACCAAGAAAACCAAACAAATCTCCAGCATCAAAGTCTCAATCAGTTTGTCAGTCTTCCTTTTTGTATTGCGTTCTTCTTTTTTGTGGTCTGGGAACACTGTTTTCTTGAAATGAATAAATACATGAAATAAACAAAAGAGTGAGTGTGGCACATACCAGGTAGTCATCTGGTCTGATCCCAAACAGCTCTCTGAAGTAGCGAAAGGCCACCGGAGCATATGTCTTAAAGCGAAAGTCTGGGTAGTGGTGTGCTGGGGTGAGATTACTGCCTTCACTGGAAAAAAGAACAGAGTTCCTAACAAAACCGTCACAATTCTGATGAACAAACTGTGTGTAAATACTATACCTGGGGAAGAAGATGCTTTCCACCACATAGAAGTCTTGCATTAGCACATCTCGCTCTGGTTTGGAGCTGAGGTTGCCGACCGTATAGCCGATGCCCAGCTGGATGGCCCCTTTCAGTGCTGAAGAGGTGGTCTGCAAGAGGCACAGAAACCAGTGATCTGTGGGCTGCTTCAGGCTGTTGTGTAGTCATTCAGGAAAGTGTATATAATGTAAGTGATAAAGAGACAGTACCTTTTTGTATGTTGTCTCCCCAGAGGCATCGACCCTTCGGTGGCCTATCTTCTTGTCATGAGTTTGACCTGCTCCAAATGGTGATGGCATCTGTGAAAAACACATCGAGTAAGCTCTAGAGGGTTGGTGCATTATTCACTCCACACTCTCTGCATTTGTTACTTTCATTTCTTGTTGGTCCCTAAATCTCACGTTGAATTAAATTTTTACATTCTGTATATTTTCCAAAAACAATATAGCCAGACTTTGGAGTTTGATATATCTCTATGCAGAGATTGTTCCCACTTCCAAGTGAGTGTAAGGTTAAAGGAAATAAGTTTTTAAAAGTCACGCATTTAATTTTTTTTATTTTCAGATCAAATTTTTTATGCTGATTTATTCTTGATCACAACAGTGATGATGGCATGCTGAGTTAACATTTAGAATGCAGAATGAGTCTCAGAGGATGGTGTCATTTGAGTTGCCAGTTCCAATTGTGAAATCTAAGTATTTTATCCTTCACTATGCAGATGTCAAACTTAATAAGCCGGAGCAGCAGCAAAACTGGTGAAGGCAAAAACTACATAGTGTCTAAAGTAGAAGTCTGATATCAGACAGGTAGAAACACATTTAATGCTTTTACATTTATTTATCACTCGTGTAATGAATATATTGAAATAGAAGTATCAGTGGATGAAAATGTCTGCATGTTTCCTCAGTTCTCACCTCTGTTATCTGCAATTTTCTGGCTGAATCTGTGGATGGAGAATGAGAAAAAAGGTTACAAAAGTCTTACTTCAAAGCATCATTCAAAATTACGAAAAAAAAAACAAAGCTCACAAAGAGAAGGGCTTCAGCACACACTAAATGGTTTCCAGATTTAGCCACAACAACATCAACATAGCAGCCAAACTGTAATGTGGCTCTACTATACTTACTGACTATACACTGAGATTGTTCTGGCAAATAGTCTATTGGATTGACTTCCTCTTTTAATCTGAGGGCTGCTATTGGCTGCTTTGACCAGATCAGGCGTCAAACCAATCAGAAAGAGGGATTAGAAGAAGCCACAGCATAAAACTGATCAGATTCTGTTCAAATCAAAAGAGGAAGAACTGACAGGGCATGAAGATAAAACTAGATCATGTGGATGTTGGCTATTGAAGCGTTGTGAGAGGGTTTTCATAATCATGTTGAATTTCCGGTCGTGTGAAGGGAAAAGATTAAGGATTCTCTGTGGACAGGGCAGGGATAAATACCCTTTAAGCCATGTTAAAGACGAGGACACAGTAGCAGATGTTTCATCACTACGCACTACACCGCGCGTTGGAAAGAATAGATACAGTTGTGTGTCATATTATTAGAGACTGTGCAAAAGTGTTGGTAAGTTGAAATGTATTTAAAATAATTACCACAATATAATGTTAAATGAAAACTGTAAATGAGTACAGGCTGAACAAGTTGGCCAGAGGTGTTTTTTCATATCTGACAGTTCTGACTTCCTCAGACTGGTCATGTGAGGTCACTGTGACGTGTCAGCTCCCAAACCTCTCTGGACTTAAACTTGCAGAAGCTTTCAAGGGTTTTTTGAGGAATGAGTGACAGTTTTTTATTCCAATCAAGCACGAGCACACCAGAATCCACTCATTTCCTCAAGTGAGTCCAGTCTTGACCTGAGGACTTAACCATGGGTCCCACAGCAGGTCTGTGCTACAAGCATGTTCACAAATGAAGCAAAGCAGAACCTCATGTTATGTCTGCGTTTGTCCACTGGGTGAAGGTCTATTGTAGATATTGTTCTCTACTGTTCATGACCCAGTTTGACCCAGTGGCTGTAAGAGCGAGCAACCACTGGGTCAAACTGGGTCATGAACAGTAGAGAACAATATCTACAATAGACCTTCACCCAGTGGACAAACGCAGACATAACATCAGGTTCTGCTTTAAACCTGTTGTTATGACTCTAATATGATCTTTCGATGTCTCTTGACGTGACATGAATGTCTTTCAATGAGTAACGTGTGACGTAACATTGACTATGTAAAGCATTTCCTATTTTTGTTCTTTCTGAAAAATAACTGAAACAACTGAATTAACAACCAGGTTGCTCTGGTGTGGAAAGCTCCTGTCTCAGATTCTTCCTTTTCCAAGGTTCAAGGTAAAATAGGCAAAAATAGAAACTTTTTTCCATGTTAAAAAGTTTCATGATACTACTTTTCACTATAAATTAGTTTTCTAAACAAAGGGCGTTTGAAAGTTTGATTTGTGTGTGTTGTGAACCACTCAGAAGTGCAGCCGAGATTACTTGGAGTAATGCCATGTGTAACCCCAGGGTAATCTGTTGGAACAATTACCATTTGTCACAACGGGTATGTTTATGGCTGTATATTTGAATTTGCTCAAGAAGGGGTGACACTTTATTTGTATGGCACAAAAATAGATCTTGCTCTTCAAAGAACTACTTGATACAGGAAAATTGTAAAACTTTCAAAAAAAATCCTGATGGCACTTTAGCCAAGGAACTATTCAATTGCAAAAACTTTGTCAGGGTACCAACAATGAATCTATGGATCATTGTCATAATAAAACAATAACAATATATGAAAAAGTGTTATTAAAATAATGCAGAGATGCAACACATGCATCTGACTCACTGTTGATGGTGGACTGTACACACATACATTATCCCAAAGTCAGTAGTTGTAGGTCTACGAGTAAAGAGGATTATATCATCAGTATAAGAATGAGTGCTGTCAGTGCATGTGGTCTGTTGTTTTGACGGACACAAACACAAGTGGATTTCATACCCACTGCAGGCTTGGAACATCTCACAGGTGCTCAACTATAAGCTGGTTGGATTTAGAATTAATATTAATCTCCACACAGTTATCCTTCAGCATTTAACGTACACACTGGCTGCATTAATAGTTGTAAAACTAACGTGTTACTGTCTCAACGTGTATCTGCATGGACGTCCACAGTAATGGTCGTAAATGATACCCATAAAGGATTAGAGGTTTATTATAATTCTATACCGGATTATCTGGGGCGGTATTGCAATACAGCCAAACATAAAACGTCTTTTTGATGTGTTATATATGAAAACGTCAAACAGAAAAGACATTGGCACTGGTTAAACTCAGACTCACTTAAACATAGTAGGCTATGTAGGCCTATAGTCATGACACTGTTGTTATCTAACCTTTATTAATAATACCTACGTCTAAGGTTCGACTAATTCCAATCTCATGGAACCTTGTGCTACTCCTTGCACTAAACAAAACAATTTATGATCCCTTAATTTTCTAATTCCAGCTGGTTTGTGTAGGCCCGATGCACCATTTGTGAGATTATATCTAGACTTCTGTAACATATAATAGCTTTCAAGAGAGGAACAAGCATCATAAGTAAAGAAAACTCATACACACCGGTGTCCCCCAGGTCCAGCTGCAAGCAGACGCCGGACGCCTCGCTTTGGCTCCCGTCAGCCCCTCCGTCCATCCTTGAGTCTCCCGAGAGACGACGCTCTCACCAAACGGAGAGGACTCGTGTGCGATTATCAGTCATATCTGTCTCCAGCCTGAGAAGCGGTGTCGCGTTCAGAACAAACGCACACAGCCGCATATTCGCATGTCCAGGCTGGAAACAGCGCGGTGCAGCTGCTCAGCATCTCCTCCGCCGCAGCGCGTTTACGTCACGCGTAGGAGCGAAACCAGCAGCGCGTGGGTACAGTACAGTGTGTGGTACAACCGCACCGTGGGTACAGTACAGTGTGGTACAACCGCACCGTGGGTACAGTACAGTGTGGTACAACCGCACCGTGGGTACAGTACAGTGTGGTACAACCGCACCGTGGGTACAGTACAGTGTGGTACAACCGCACCGTGGGTACAGTACAGTGTGGTACAGCCGTACCGTGGGTACAGTACAGTGTGGTACAACCGTACCGTGGGTACAGTACAGTGTGTGGTACAACCGCACCGTGGGTACAGTGTGTGGTACAGCCGCACCGTGGGTACTCACAAACCT